CCAGCAATTTTTCAACCTTTTTCATCTGATGGCACACATAAACTAATACTAAAATTCTGCAGCACACCAAAAAAATATATTTTTTGCTGATCTGACAAAAAAAAAATCATTTTGATTCATTCATACCAAACAGCTATTGTTGTGTTGTCTGTTGTCATTTTTTTTAAATTTTACAATCTCAAGGAAAAGCGGTCCGAGCCCCTGACTAAATAATCAGCATATGCCCGTTTTAAAAATTCTTGTGGCACACCGGTTGAAAAATCGCTGCTTTAAGCTATTGCAACTTAGGGGTTGTTTGTTTGTTTTATCACAGCAAAAACTGAAGAATACAGGTTCTCTCTATTATCACATCAGAGCTCATATTCTAACTAAAACAAGGGATGAAAATAGGCCCTTGAATCTCATGACACGAGGGTCACTGGTGAGCTTGGGAAAAATTGCCTCAGTGGAGTAGTGAGGCCAGAAGGCAGACTGGAGCAAGCTGAGCAGTGAGAGGTAAGGAAATGAGATGTGTGCAGGCAGCTCTTTAGAGAAGTGTGGCTGTGATGGGAAGGAGAGGGGTGGGCACTGGCTGGAGGAGGGGCTGTGGAGGCCAGTGGCAGCCTTGCAGAAGTGCTGCTCAGACCTGCCCTGGAGAAGGAACTTGCTGATGAGATGTGAGGAATTCAGTCAGCTGACAGCCCCCTGTCTAGCACCTTCCGCAAGCACTGCAGCATTTGAGCCGAGACCACACTCTTGCCGGGCATTTCCCAGCCAGTGACAGAGCATGGCAGGGGTACCAGCACCTGAAGACCCAACCAACACAGGTGGGAAGGGTTTTCTGTTGTTTGCTTTTTTTTTTTTCAGTTTCAGAGAGGAAGGGAAAGGGAGGGAGAGATAGAAACATCAATGGTGAGGGAGAATCATTGATCGACTGCTTCCTGCACACCCTACACTGGGGATTGAGCCTGCAACCTGCCATGTGCCCTGACCGGGAACGGAACTGTGACCTCCTGGTTCATAGATTGATGCTCAGCCGCTGAGCCACACCAGCCAGGCTGTTGTTTGCTTTTAATGACAGGGAGCAGAGTGTGCTTAGAAACTCAAAGTGAAGAATCCAGTTGGGAAAGAGCAGATGACTAGGGAAGGGAAAAGACGCCCAGATGGAGAGAGGGAGGTCCCTGTGAAGGCAGAAGGAGACGAGGTCTGGACTGGGGGGAGTGGTTCCTCCGGCCAGGGAGGAAGGAAAAGCAGCAGAGAAGGAGGAATGAGAGCAGGGCGATGGCAGACCTCCCGTCAGTGAGTTTTCTCTTTCTGAAAAGTGGGAAGCAAGATGAGATCTGAGAGTCAGGAAACCAAGTCCTTCCAGGTGCATGGGCTGCGTCTCCATTTTCTGCTCTTGGCCTTGGTCTTCCCACCGGGAACATAAACAGCTTTAGCTAAACCCCGGTCCCCAAACATGTTTGAGCCTCAGAGGCTTTTGAGAAATACACTTTAGGGGAGCCCATCCCTGAACTGCTTGATCGGAATCTTTGAGACAGAAGTAGTGGGAGCAATAATCTATATACAGGGTGTCCCCAAAAAATGCATAGACACTTTAACAGCTGATAGCTCAATATTGAAAATGAAATGTATTTTAATAAACACTGCCTTTATAATTATTCAAAGTATGCATATACATTTTTGGGACACCTTTTATATTTTTAAAAGTGCCCTTTGGCCCTAGCTGGTTTGGCTCAGTGGATAGGGCCATGGCCTGTGGACCTAAAGGTCCTGGGTTCGATTCTGGTCAAGGGCATGTACCTCAGTTGCAGGATCCTCCCCGCCCCAGGCCCTGGTCAAGGCACGTACAGGAGGCAATCAATTGATGTATTTCTCTCACATCGATGTTTCTGTCTTTCCCTCTCTCTTCCACTCTCCCTAAAAATCAATGGAAAATATCCTCCAGTGAGGATTAACAATAAATAAATAAATAATAAAATGTCCTTTATTAAAAAAATATTTCTCTCTGTCTTTTCCTCTCTTTCACTCTCTCTAAAAAATCAATGGAAAAATATCCTTGGGTGAGGATTTAAAAAAAATAAAATTAAAAATAAATTAAAAACACATGGGAAAAAGAGTGCCCTTGGGCATGATGGGATGCATAGTCAGGTTTGGGAACCGCCCTGCAGGGCCTCCAGCTCTGTGGTTCCAGGGAGAAGGTGCAGCATTTTGCTGAAAGTATAACCTATAGAATAAGCCACATGCCACACTTCCTGTCACCTATAACTACAAAGGCCCAAAAGGTACCAGAACTCAAGAGGAACCACAGTAAGATAAAATCAGTAGCAAAACCAGAGACCCCACCTATGTGGGAAACTCACCATGCACACTCTGGCCCCTGTGGCCATGTTTCCAAGCCCCCAGGTGGGCTGTGGGGCAGGTCTTGGTAAAAGGAACTCCCCAGGCAACAGGACTAAGGAGTTGAATCAGGGCCATCACAGGAGATCAGGGATGCTTGGCTGCCCTGCAAAGGGGTGGAGACCAACCCAGGCATTTCTGAAACCTGAGACCTGGAGTTGAGGGGAGGGGAAGGAGGGGCTGCCTGGCCCTGAGTGCCCAAGCCAGCCCCCCACCCCCCCTTATAGCTCCTCCTCTGCCTGGATGCCCCTTCTCTAGGGCTGCTCCAGACTGTGCAGGACACCTCCACTCTCCCTTTGCCTCCCTCTGCCCCTAAGGTTGGGTGGGGACAGGCTGGGGCCACCAGCAGCTCCATGGACAGAGACGTTGCCTCTGCTCACCTTCCCGCTTTGGAAAGAAAGGAAGAGAGATCTGTGTTCATTTGCATTTGGGGGATCCTACACCCTCCTAAACTTCTGGGGGCAGAAAAAGTGATTTGACCTTGGATTGACTGTAGAAGAAGGGACAGAAAGAACCCAGAGCATTCTCCCAGGTATGAATTCTTCACTTTTGGTGGTGGTGGTGGTGGTTGGGGGGGGGGGGGGGGGTTGGCGATGGTAAGTTTTCCACTGTCAGATGTGGAGTTGTTCTTGATGATCTCCCAGACCCCTTCTGACTGCTTCATTCCATGATTCTGCGGCACTAAACTTCATTCAGTCATTCAATAAACATTTCCTGTGTACCCATCCTGGGCCAGGTACTGCTATTGAATAAAACCTAGTCAGTCCCTGCCTTCAAGGATTCACAGTCTAGACGGGAAGTTTGTGAATAGCTGCCATACTTACAGTGGGTCAGACACTGAGCTACCCCTTTTTTAAACTTATTTAACCCAGCAACAACTATAAGAGGTAAGTGTATTACTAACCCCATTTTACAGATGAGGACAGTGAGTCCTACTTAGCAAGGTGAGGTCACACAGAGTAGGTAGTAGTTGGTGGAGCTGGTGGAGTTGTGTTATGCTGCCTGCCTGCCCTGCACTTAAAGAGACAGTTCAGGGCAAAAGGTGTACTCATGAAGGGTCGGGAGGGAGCGAGAGTGCTTTAGAGCAGCGGTCGCCAACCCGTGGTCCGTGGACCACTGGCGGTCCGTGAGGTCTGAAAGGTTGGCGACCACTGCTTTAGAGAGCCAAGTTCAAACAGGGCAGGGAATGGTTAACTTTCACTTTGACCAAGGTTCCCAGGGAGTGAGGCAGAAGCAGGCTTGGGGCCAAGTTTAGAGCTGGAGGTAGGCAGGTTCCAAGAGCCCACTGGGAGCTTTTGGGTCAGCTGGGACTTGAGGTCAGTGGGGATCAGGATCAAGGGCCCTTCTCCATCACCCCTAGCCTGGGGTGGCAGGGGATACAATGGGGTGACTTGAGGATTCCCAGCCAGGCTCCCTAGAAACTGGGTGTCCCATATTCATATGGGTGGGGCTGACCTGACCTGGAGGCAAGCGTCCCAGCAGCCTGAAGGTTGTGTGGCCTGAGGCCCAGGAAGTGGGGGGCAGACCCCCATCACTATGGATCTCCTCAGCAAAGATTGGACTGTGGCTCCCCCTACTCACAGCTCTCAACTCCCATCTCCCAGCTGTCTCCAGGCCAGGCAAAGGGAGGACAAAAGCTGATTATTCCACTGGGGGCTGTCCTAGGCCCCATGAATGGGGTATTGAAAACCCCGTGCCCACATCCAGATAGGTTTTCATCCTCTCCCCAACCAGACTCTTTGTATGCCAGGGCCGAGGCACAGCCAGGGAGAGATGGGGGAGGGGAGTGTGTGCTGGGAGGGGCACCCATGGACCTGCACTCTCAATATATTGAAAACAGAACTATCCCCTCAGCCAGCACCCCACCCCTGTTTTGTATGTGAAGAAAGCAGGCCTGGGGGTTTCTGGGATGCTGGTTCCGTGATGTAAATGTTCACTGAGTTCTACACTTATGACTTCAGTACTTTTTTATTTGTATACCTCAATCCAAAATTTAACAACAACAAATCCTCAAGGGCTTCTCATCCCAAAAAGACAGAGCATCCCAAATGGCATTTATTCTCTCAGCCCTTCACCATCACCATTTTTTTTTATATTTGTGAGTCATAGGAACTATATTTCCTTGATTTTTTAATTGACTCATTTCTTCTGATTTAAACTAACTTTAAAGAGAAACTTTATGTTGTTCCAATAAATGGAAAACCAGGATCCATTGCCATAAATAGAGGGCATTGTTAAAAAAAAAAAAAAAAAAGCAATGAAAATAAAACCATATTCATTTATCTCCCCCTAAATTTATGTAGGTTGCCACCAGTAGCGCCAACACCACCCTTTAGGATACATTGCCTTTCTGGGTTTGGACCCAGGCAACCTTTCAACTTCATCTCCCACCATTCATTTTCACACACTCCAGCCAGACCTAACTCCTCATTAGCTTCCATCTGTGTTCCCTTCCTTCTCATCTCCCAGCTGTTGCTCCTGCTGCCTCCACGCAGAATGCCAAATCCAAGTGGAAATATCACTTCCCCCTGAAGCTCTCACTGTGACCTTCCAGCTGGAAGAAGTGACTTGGAATTTTTAATTCCAGATGTTCCTGCTGTGACTTCTTCACCAGCTCCATGATGGAACCATTAGAAAGGCCATCGACTAGCTGGACACACAAGGAAGCAGAAATTCGAATTGGTCCCCAACCAGATCAGAGCAGGGGGTGGAGCCCTGGAGACAGGAGTACAGTACCTGCACCTATCCCCCCAGCCCTATCCTTCCTCCTCCTCTTGCCACTGGGTGAGTGCTGTCCCCCTAACCCCAACCACTTCCCTTCCTGACTCTCAGTTTTCCCAGCTGTAAAATTATGGTGGGAGGTGGTTTGTAAATGAGGCAGTTTCCAACATTCTTTCCATCTCCAACATCTGTCCAGGGTTGATTAGAGCTAAGGGTCTGACTTGGAGAAGCAGAAGGCTCAGTGCTGGAGGTGAGGGATCAATGTGCACAGAGAATGGGCAGTTAAGGGACATTGGAAATAGGAAAGGAGGGAAAGGGGATGGGCTTACTCATGGCTGTTGGAAAGGCAGCTGGTCGAATAAATGAAATCAAATGACTTAGGGACTATCCTAACTTAAAAAATGAAGAAAACAAGTCTCGGTTTCTTCATCTGTAAAATGGGTACCTCAGTACATGTCTCAGAGCATTGTTATAAGGATTCTCTGAAGTGATGTATGTGAAAGTGTCTAAACACAGTAATAGCTTGTGCACAAGTGGACTATTATGGAGTTTTCAATTTCCCTTGGTAGGCCAGTTTCCCTGCTTCCTCCCTGCCTCTCAGGCCACGTACTCAGAATTGTAAGGTGAAGGCGAGTGTGGCGATTTCTGTTGGAATCCCAGTTCTACCTTTTGCTGTGTGGCCTTGAGCAAGTTGCCTAACCTCACTAAACCTGAAGTTTCCCCATCTGCAAAATCCTACCTACTTTATAAGTTGTCTTAATGATGAAGTGGGCCAGGCCACATAGAGCAGTGAGCACAGTGCCTGGACTGTACATTCACGAGAACTGAAGCAGAAGGACTCATCTAGGTAAAACTTTGGGGGGGGGGGAAATCACAATGAACCCCAAAACCAGTTCACACACGTAAAGCAGAGCTACTGAGCATCTGCGGAATAACAGGCTCGGGGCAGAGGGCTCTGCGGGACCCCAAGCTGAGACAGGCATGGACACATCGCCAGGCAGGAGGCCCAGAAAGGGGAGTGTATGTGGTGCCCAGTGACTCAGAAGGAATAGAGAGCACTTCTAGCTGAGGGCTCCAGGAGGGCTTTCTGGAGGAGGGGGTTCTGAGCCGGGTCTTGAAGGCTCGAGAGGGCTGTACTGAGCAGGATTGACCAGAGGAGACTGCATGGTTCAAATCCTGGAGACAAGACGGATGGGATATTAAGAAGGTGAGGCTGGTCAGAAGATACTAGAAGGCTTTGTAGAGAAAGCTCAGGGGCTGGGACTCCTATAAGAAAAGAGGAGTGTTTGAGAAATTTAGCAGTGGAGTGGGGATAAACAGATCTGCCTTAGGCAGCTCTCTCTGGGTGCTCCGTGACCAATGGGAGAGGGTGAAGCAAGGAGGCCAACTGGGACAGACAGGGAAAGAGGTGAGACTTGGGGAAAGTAGGAGTAGCGAAGAGGAGGGGCATGATGGAAGAGGGGGCCAATGCTCTCCCCACTCTGTTTCAGCCAGTGCCCTACAGCCCACCCCACTGCCTTTTCCAGGTAGGTGCCCCTGCTCCTTCCTCCCCACTCCCCCTACTCCGACCCCAGGTACTCAGATGCTCAGACAGAAGACCTCTATTGTTTTAGATGCCCCAAAGGGACTGCACCAGTCTCCCCAATATATAGGAAGGGAGAAATGAGATCTAGAAGGGACTGTTCCTAAGGCTCCCATAACTTCATGGCAAGATGGGCATCCTGTAGGTTGGACCCAGGGATCCCCCAGGTGCCAGTTCAACCCTCTCCACAGAACTGAGGTTGGTGGGGGGTCCGAGCCGCTGCCGGGGGCGTCTGGAGGTCCTGCATGGTGGCTCCTGGGGCAGCGTTTGTGACGATGACTGGGACGTGGTGGACGCCAATGTGGTATGTCGTCAGCTGGGTTGCGGCCTGGCGCTCCCTGTGCCGAGGCCCCTTGCCTTTGGGCAGGGCCGAGGCCCCATCCTGCTGGACAACGTGGACTGCCGTGGGCAGGAAGCTGCTCTGAGCGAGTGCGGCAGCCGAGGCTGGGGAGTCCACAACTGCTTTCACTACGAGGATGTGGCTGTCCTGTGTGACGGTGAGCAGAGTCCTGTGACCTAGAAGGGCAGGCTGTGTCAGATAGCAGGACTGAAGGCTAGATAAATGAAGGGACTTCCCAGCGGTAACACTGTTCCATGTAGAAGACCAAGCCAGTGGCTGCATTGCATGGTGTTGGGGAAGAGCTCCAGGCTGGCCAAGAGCCCTGGACCCCAGTGGTGCTTCTAGCTCAGTGTGTGACTTTGGTCAAAACTCAACATTACTCCTTCCATGTAGGACTTTGACTGTTCCAGCAAAGTCCCCTTCTCATTTTTTAAATCAGATGATTGGGGTCAACACTGGCCACAGGTCCACTTGGCATAGAGTTACAGCAGAAACCTCTGAGAGGCTTTGACCTTGAGAGCAGTGGTTTTAATTTTCAAGAAAATCCCCTGGAAGGCTCAGACTGTGGCCCCACCCCAGTTTCTCCTTCTGCAGGTGTGGGGTTGAGCCTGAGAATTTCCCTTTCTAACAAGGTCTCAGGTGATGTGATGCTGCTTTAAGAACTAAAAGAACTCCTCTAGAGCTAATGCTTCCTGGACCCAGGGGGCCCTTTCACCTCTCCTATCCCTGGCTTTTATCCTTTGTGTGACCAAAGGCCCTGAGGAGCAGGCACCTTAGGGGTCCATGCCCTGCTACTTATATACTTGTGGGTGTGAGGATGGAGAACAGAAAGATCCATTTGTCATCCTCCCTTCCTTTCCAGAGTTCTTGCTCACGCAACCCCCAACAAAGAAAGTGTTAACCAGCAGGGCACCCCCTACAACTACCCAGAATGGAAGAGGTAAGTAAAGGCAACGTGGGGGGCCACCTGGGTCTTAGGAGAGGGACCCAGAGAACAGTCTCTGATATCAACCCTAAGTGAGAAGAGAAGGATTACTGATGGTTGAGTTTGGTCATTCCTCCTCCCCATCCTGCCTCCTGTACCCCCTCAGGCTGCTCACCTTCTGGATAGGGAAAGAGGATTCATTCCTGTAGAATGACTAAAAATAGTCAGCACACGGTTGGAGAAAGTGAGAGGTGAGCGCTAGAGCTTAATCTAATGGGAGAGTCAGGTATGCACAGAAATGCTGATAGTGATGTAGAAGAAGAAAATGAAAAGCAATCTAAAAGAGGCACAACAGGTAACAGGCAGGGAAGTCCAGAGGAGGAAGAGCGTCCAGTCCATCAGAGAGCAGGCAGGGCTCCTGGAGAAGGAGTTGTGAGTGCTGCACCTAGGCAGGCGAGAAGGCTTTCACTGCATCTTAAAGGAGGAAGCAGCAGGACCCTGGACGCTCAGGAGAGCATGGACAAAGGCAGGGAGGGTTGCTGTTAGGCAGGGAGTGACACAGTCAAAGCCAGTCTGTCCTCTAACCCCACAAACCACCCGCAATCTGGGCTGTGAGGAGACAGCGCCGGGACACCATGCTGTGGGTGTGGGGCGGGCCTAGGGCTTGTAGAAGTGCATCCGTCTAGGGAGGCGATGGGAGGCAGCGCCCTGTGGGATTTGCTCCTTGCCCCCTCTTCTGCCCCCATCGTCACCAGGCGAGGGCAGTGTGCGCCTGGTGGGGGGCGCAGGCCCCTGCCAGGGCCGAGTGGAGATCCTGCACGGCGGCCTGTGGGGCACCGTGTGCGACGATGACTGGGGGCTGCCAGACGCCACCGTGGTCTGCCGCCAGCTGGGCTGCGGGGAGGCCCTGGCCGCCACCACTAACGCCTTCTTCGGCTATGGCACGGGACACATCCTGCTGGACAACGTTAACTGTGAAGGCGGCGAGCCCCGCCTGGCAGCCTGCCCGAGCCTGGGCTGGGGCGTGCACAACTGCGGCCACCACGAGGACGCGGGAGCGCTCTGCACAGGTGCGGGCTCCGGGGACGAAGCGTGGCCGGTGGGCGGGACCGGGCCGGGTCCAGCAACCCGAGGAGCCTAAGGGGGGCTTGGGCGGCGAGGGGGGTTGGTGGCTACCTTGATGTCTCCCAGAGTAATCCAGAAAGGCCCCGAAATTACTGTTAATATCTCAGTGCTGCTCTAGAAGTGGCTCAGGAAACGTCAGTGCTCTCTGTGGTGAGCTCCACAGCTGTGTAATACTGGAGTATTGTTCTACCAACACTCTAGAACAGCGGTTCTCAACCTGTGGGTCGCGACCCCTTTGTGGGGTCCAAGGACCCTTTCACAGGGGTCGCCTAAGACCATCGGAAAACACATATATAATTACATATTTTTGTGATTAATCACTATGCTTTAATTATGTTCAATCTGTAACAATGAAATTGGGGGTCACCACAACATGAGGAACTGTATTAAAGGGTCGTGGCATTAGGAAGGTTGAGAACCACTGCTCTAGCAGTACCCCAAGAATGCCCCAGGAATTTCCGAGCATATCCTAAGTACTCTTCATGGAACACTTTGAAATAATAGAACTCTATAATTGCCCAGAAACACTACATTGCAGCCCAAGTATGACCCCAGAATTACCTAGTGCAGCCCTCTTTAATCCTGATGCTCTTATAATGCCCCACCTGGCCCCTCTCCATTTTGAGAAGTTTTTTGAGCAAATCCAAATAATAGGGCCAATAATGGCACTTTACAAATGGACTCCACTCTACAAGGTATAAATGCTTGCCCATGCCTCACAGCAAACCAGGGGCCATAATTTCCAGTTTCCAGGTGGGAAAGCTGAGGCCCAGTGAGGCAGAGCCACACCCGTGGTCACACAGTGAGCCCTGGTAAAGTCACGGCTAACTTTGCTGCATGGTCTCAAGCATGACCTTTGCCTTTTCTAGTCTATTTTATTTGTAGGATGGGGATAACGAGTCTTGTTCTGCAAGTCCCTCAGGACTGTGCATGGCCCTCCCCCTGTGGTCAAGACCTTCTCTATCTCTCCATTTTGGACACACATTGGGTTTCTGAGAACATTGGAAAGAAAGGAAAGCATGTCTGTGAAAGTCCTGTGTAAACTGCGATGTGTACGCCTGTACAGCACCAGTGAATTACGACCATTGTCAAAGTGGGGCAGACCTCCTTGGACCCCAGATGGGGATAAGCCCCCAGCTCTAGAAGTACAATCTGTGGTCTTCTTCAGAGAAATCCTTCTATCCTCCTGACAGCCAAAGGCTGACCAGGAACTAGAACCTCAGCCTCTGACTCTGCTCCCCTCTTTCCTGCTCTAGTTCTAGGGCCCCCGACGCTCACAGCACTGCCACCCTCAGCCACAAGAGAGGACTGGGCCTGGCACACAGAGCCAGAGGGTAAGGAGCCCAGCTTGAGCCTGCTAGCCTCCAGGCTATAAGGGTAGGGGGAAGGTGAGGAGGGCTGGGGACCGAGAAGGCTGTTGAGATCCATAGGAAGGGGCCTGACTAGAAGGCCAGAGCTTTTGACCAGATGGTAGAGGTGGGTGAGAGGACAGAGGAACAGATGGAGAGCAAGGATGAAATCCAGACCTCTGAAAAGTTCAGTAAGGTGGGAAGACGTAGTAAGCGATTTCTTCAAAGCTCTTAAGTAAAATTTGGGTTGGTGGTGAGGGTGGGAACTAAGAGGCCTTGTGAGAGGTTTGAGATAAAGGTTGAATGAAGGATAGAAGTACATTTACAATTAGGGTTGAAACTATCATTGGGATTGAAATTAGGATAACGCCTGGAAATGGGATTTGGTTCATTCCAATCCAGTTTCCAGAGGACCCCACCACACCAATCAAGGTGGTGACTGTAGAGTTGAGGTTGAGTGTGGGTGCCGATGTGGTACAGTTGGGGGACTTCGGCAGGAGCGCCCATGCCCTGCTGTAGGCCAGAAGGCCTCTTTGTCCCTTTCAGATGCTCTATCTAGATGCCCTGTCTCCGCAGCCACAAGAGTTGGTGCCCTGCCTTCCAGGGAGACAGCCTTGTTCACCACAGCCTCCTGGGTCGCGGGGAGGAAAAGTAAGTGGCAGAGCGGGGATTCCGGGGCATTCCGGGGCGGGTGGGAAAAGGTGGGGCTGGGGCCCTGCCTGGGAGCTGGTGGCTTCAGCGCAGTCCCTCTGGCCCCGGGCCTGTGCGCCCTGCAGGTGGGCGGCTGCGGCTGGTGGGCGGCCCGGGACCGTGCCGCGGCCGCGTGGAGGTTATGTACGCCGGGGGCTGGGGCACCGTGTGCGACGATGATTGGGATTTCGCGGATGCGCGCGTGGCCTGCCGTGAGGCAGGATGCGGGCCGGCCCTGGGCGCCACGGGCCTCGGTCACTTCGGCTACGGCCGCGGCCCCGTTCTGCTGGACAACGTGGGCTGCGCCGGCACGGAGGTCCGCCTGAGCGACTGCTTCCACCTGGGCTGGGGGCAGCACAACTGCGGCCACCACGAGGACGCGGGAGCGCTCTGCTCAGGTGAGCCCGCCGCGGGGTCGCGCACGGAGGCAGCTCAGCCCTGGGCGGGGCCGCGCGTGGCAGCTCCCTGCGGCAGTGCCCCGTGGGAGGGCCCGCGTGGCGGCTCCCTGCGGCAGTGCCCCGTGGGCGGGGCCGGAGAGGACGCGCAATCCGCAGGGAGGCGGAGCCCGCCGTGGGCGCATGGCCGCGGCGCTGCACGGGCGGCGCCGGAAGGAGCCTTCTGCAGTGAGAGTGTGGGGTGGGGCCGGCCCGCGTTCTGCCGCAGTGAGGGGCGGGGCGTGAGAGACCCAGACCCGGGATGAATTCAGAAAGCCTGTCAAGGGCGGGGCTGGGGTGTTACTGCTCTGCTGAGTCAAGGACCCCCAAAGCTCTAATAAACGGAGAGTTGATCAGCTTTTGGAAGCAAGCCCCGTGCCCTTTGGAAGGAATCAATAAGATAGGGGTGTTTGCAGGGTCTTACACATTTTAAAATGCTGTTCGTTGCTTGGTTTGGGAATTGATATATTGGCCCTAGTTTGGTAACCCCGGGGCCAAGTGGCCTTGGCCACAAAGGGTAGGCTACAGAGGATTCTGCTTTGGGCCCCAGGGTGAAAAAAGTACAATCACCATTTCTGATGGGGGGGGGGGGTCCTTCTTCGGGGTCCAGTAAAGTTGGTTGTCCCTAGGTCAGGCTTCCCTTGCGAGGGTAGGAGGTGACTTGTCCTCAAGGAACATGTTCCCCAATGTGACAACCACCTCTTTTTCTTTGTCCTTGATGAGCCAGGCCCAGAGGAGCTAGGACTGCAAGTCCAGCAGGATGGTTCTGAGACCACCCGGGTTCCCACTCCTCGGCCCAGGGACGGTAGGTGCCCACAACCCCCAAGAGGGAAGTCGAGGCATCAGGATAGTAAGGACCAGGATCAGGAGAGGTCACAGCCTGGGGTTAGGTAGCTCAGCAGATTTTACCATGTCCTGGAACCTTTGCCTTTTTGGGCTAGTCCTAAGTCTCATTAATAGAGGCATAGTGTTCAGAAAGAGGGAGATGGGTGTTAAGCTAAAGGAATCTGTAGCTTAAATGAGGGGATAGGGCTCCTTTCCTGAGGCGGGAAATGAAAGAAGTTACTCTTTAGCCTGGGGAGTCCAGGGGGTGAGGGTAGGCAATGATAACCTCAGGAGACACTGATGACTTCAGGGGACACAAGCACAGTCTCCAGAGAGTAGCCCTGTAGCTGAGGTACTGGGATTATGAACAGTGGACTAAGGAGAGAACAGACATGCAACCCAACATGCCCAGAGTACCCCACAAAGGCTTGTACATGTTCTTCCATCTGGAGGCTGAATATTGACTGATGTCCATCCTATTTTAATCTCATTTGTCTGCCCTTGTCCAGGGGCTCCCAGGGCAGTGCTGTGTCTCATGCCAGCACCCTTTGCCTCCTCTACCCCTTCCCTGTCCTTGCTTGGGAGTGGCGTGGCATGGGCCAGCACCTTCCAGCTCCCGGCCTTGTCCCCTTACAGGGCACCTACGTCTGGCCAATGGAGCCCATCGATGCGAGGGGCGTGTGGAGCTCTTCCTAGGACAGCGGTGGGGCACTGTCTGTGATGATGCTTGGGACCTGAGGGCAGCCGGTGTCCTGTGCCACCAGCTGGGCTGTGGTCAAGCTCTGGCAGCCCCTGGAGAAGCCCACTTTGGCCCAGGCCGAGGCCCTATCCTCCTGGACAATGTCAAGTGTCGTGGGGACGAAAGCACCCTTCTGCTCTGCTCTCATATCCGCTGGGATGCCCACAACTGTGACCACAGCGAGGATGCCAGTGTTCTGTGCCGGCTGTTGTGACCTGCAGACCACCTCTTCTAGGAACCTACTATGGCCTGCCCCTCTTCCTCCAGGAAGCCTTCCTGCTGTGACAACTGCAGTTCACTCAGCCCTTCCCTCCCCTTGCCTGGGAGAAAGCCGGCCCAAATGGTGTGGTCCTGCATAGCACGGCCTGGCTTTATCCCATCAACTGTTGTGGACCCAATTCAACGAGAGCTCCCACTTTCTGCTCAGCCAAAACAGAAAATTGGGGAAAGGGAATGACTTCTAACTCTCTCTCTGGTAGGGCTCCAGGTACAGCACCCCTAATCCTACCTTCCTGGAACCCAATCCAGGTGATTCAGGAGAAAATGGGGTCTCTCCCTTCCCTGACCCATCTTGGGATCCCCAAGAAGAGGGAAGACAGGAGAAGCCTGTAGCCCTTACCTTAGCCTGCCTGGGACTGTAGAAGAACCTGGGTCGTTGCCCTGGCTTGTTCCATGAGGGCCCAGACTCAGATGGTGCTTGACTGGATAAGGGGACTGGAGGGGCCAAAGCAGGGACAGTGGCCCCTCCCTGCAGCTAGAACCAGCATCTGTGATTTATGCTGCCCCCACCACAGAGCCTCCACTTTGCAATAGCAAAGAACTGTGGGGGTCTGTAACCATCCATTCATAGGTGCCAAGTCAATAAAGCATTGTCCCCCCTGTCTTTTAACCGAGGTCAGTGTTTGGGCACAAGTGCATTGTTTGTGGCAGCAGGAAAGACTGGTAAAGATTTTTTGGAGGCTTGGGGATGGAGGGCGGTTCAAGAGCATCATCCGAGAGCTCTCTGCAGGCCCATCACATCCTGGAAATGCTGACTCAGTATCAGGCCTGGAAGGCCTCTAGAGGGTCTCCTAGTCCATCCCTGTTTTGCATTTACAAATAGAGAAATCTAGGTCCTGCAAAAGGAAGGGTCTGCTCAAGGTCACACAGCAAGGTGGTGGAGTCATTAGAACAAAAAAAAATTGAGAGGGGGCAGGAAGGCAGATAAGGTAGAGCAAAGCAGCATTGGGGCTTTTGCAGAGGCTGCTTTTGGGGCACCTCACCTGCAGTCCTAGGGGCACAGAGAAGTGGCAGATCCTGCCAGAGCCTCTCTTAGCCCAGGTGTCTTGCCAGTAGCAGCTGTCTGGCATCAAGCCTCTGCCCTACAAGTCCAGCCAGCAGGCTCTGCATTCGTTTCCTACAGCTGCTGTACCAAATGACCAAAACTTAGTGGCTAAAAACAAAACAAATCGATTATCTTATAGTTCTTGAGGTCACTAGTCTGAAATGGACTAAGTTCAAGGTGTCTGAAGAGTGGTGTTCTTTCTGGAAGCTCTAGGGGAGAATTCGTTTCCTTACCTTTTCCAGCTTCTAGAGCAGTGGTTCTCAACCCTCCTAATGCCGCGACCCTTTAATACAGTTCCTCATGTTGTGGTGACCCCCAACCATAAAATTATTTTCGTTGCTACTTCATAACTGTAATTTTGCTACTGTTATGAATCCTCATGTAAATATCTGATATGCAGGATGTATTTTCATTGGTACAAATTGAACATAATTAAAGCATAGTGATTCATCACAAAAACAATATGTAATTATATATGTGTTTTCCGATGGTCTTAGGCGACCCCTGTGAAAGGGTCGTTCGACCCCCAAAGGGGTCGCGACCCACAGGTTGAGAACCGCGTTCTAGAGGCTGCCTGCATCCCATGCTTGCTCATGTGCTCCTTCCAGCCAGCAATTACCTCACTCTGACTGCTGCTTCCACCATCACACTCTCTTCTTCTGACTCTTCTGCCTCCCTCTTCCAGTCTAAAGCTTCTTATGAGTGTTAGACCCACCTGGATAATCCAGGATGATCTCCCATCTCAAGGCCCTTAATTTAATCACATCTGCATAATCCCTTTAGCCACGTAAAGTAACAGATTCAGGAGCTCTGGGGATTAGGATGTGAACATCTTGGAGGGGCCATTATTTTGCCTCCCACAGGCTCTAAATCTGGGTCCTGGCTCTCAGCCAAAGAGGGAGGCAGACATGAGCTCCAAGCTCTTGGCAGTAATGGCTTTGTCTCCATTTGTTAGGGAGTTCTCTGAGACCCACTGTGTCATTGGAGAGATGAGGAATGGAGGAATGAAAATGCTTAAGAATTCAGGGAGTTGGACAGGAATGCTCTATCCATCTCACAGCCCCCAGGTCTGAACTCAGCATACTCAGAATCTGCTTAGGCTGTAGTCATAGTCACTCCAGCATACCCACATTTGAGTGTGCCTCTCTGTTGTCCCAGAAATATCACCGCTTCCCACTCCTTAAGTACCCTTTCCCATCGAAACAAAGTGTTTCCATTGATGACCTCTTGTTTGACCCTCATAGCACACCTGTAAGGGAATTATTATTGTCCCGTTTTACAGACAGGGAAAACTGAGGCTCAGAGAGGAGAAATGACTTGTCCAAATTTGTACAGTGGACCCAGGACTACAACCTAAGATTCTTGATGCACATTAATACTGGTCACCAACATGTCCAGTTCTTCACCTTCCTGGTACGTGATAGCTTTGCACTTCCCTGCCCTCTTGAAGTGAGGTGTGGCCTATGACATGCTTTGGCCAATGAAATGTGAGGGGAAGTGCCCCCCAAGCAGAAGCCTTCAAGGACCCAAACACAATTTTCAAGTTCCCTTGCTTCAAAGTGACCAGTGATGTTCCAGGAGGTGGAGGCTCCATCAACCTGTGTGGCTCTGAGTGAGAGCCAACTGGAGCAAAATCTTCATTGACTCAAGACGGACATAGAGACTGAGTGAGAAATAAGTCTTTGCTGCTCCAAACTACTGAGATTGGGGTTGTTTATTAGAGCAGCCTAACATAGCCCATCCTGACTGAGACTTCCTGTGGGTTTACCTGAAACCTGTTTTCCAGCCGGTTATTAAGGCTAGTTCTGTTCACTGTTTATTCAGCACATTTAGTGTTCTATGTGTGAGGGCATCGTGGGATTGGGACCATACAGATAAATAAGACAGGCTTTTATCCTTGAGAAACTCCTAGAATAATCCAATGATGACCTCAATACCCTGTAGTCTCCTGAAACTCAACCTGTCCCACTGAGAATTTTGTCACCTACACCTATATCTGGGTTTCTCTGTTTAGTAAGTAGCATTACCAATCACTGTTTAAGCTAGAAATCTGGGTATTATCCCCAACAACTCCCCCCCAAAACAAAAACAAAAACAAAACCTAATTAATCACTAAACCCTCTTGATTCTAGCTACCAAATCCTGCTGGAACCTGTGTACTTCTCTCCATCTCCACATTTCTTACCATGGTTTCTTCACTGTCTTCCTGCCTTCCAACCCACTACCCATAACACAATAAACTGTCTAATGTTTACAAATCCGATGGTGCCACTCCCCTGCTCACACAAACCCCTTTTATGGCTCCCCAGTGCTCTTCCTCAACTCCTTAGCTCAGGTTATGAGTCCCTGCACAGCCTGGCTCTGCCTGTGTTTTCAGCATCATCCCTCACCACTTGCTGCCAGGATCTAGCCAGGTTGAACTACTTTCAATTTCTCTAATGTCTGGGCTCTCTTCCCACCAAGCCTCTGCACATTCTGTTCTCTCTGCCTGGAATAGGCATCACCTTCTCTCCTCCTTCCCCTCAGTCAACTCCTACTTAGCCTCATATCTTGGCTTTCCTTTTCTCCAGAGGCCTTCATTGATACAACCCTCCTCCCCAATCTGGACTGGGAGTCCACACTGCACCTTGTGCCTCTCCAGTGACAGCACTCATCCCCTGTAGCTCAGCGGACTGCTAGCTTGGCTGTACCCTCCACTAGCCCAGAGGGCCCTGGAGGGCTGGGGCTGGGTCTGTGGTGCCCAACTTTGGACACAGGATCTCACACACAGTAGGTGCTCAAATATTTGCTCAGTGAATGTAGGGCATGAGCAAATATTCCTGGAGCACCTGTGTGCTAGGCCAAGTGCCATGCTGGGCTCTAGGGCTGCAGAGCAAGAAGAGATGTAGACCAGGTTCTGGTTTGCATGGCACAGAGATTACCTTCAAGACAAGATGGATAAGCCATTAAACAAATCAATAGCCAAGAGACTTTGACCTACTGATTAGTGCTATAAAAAACATAAAGCAGAGTATTGTGGGAGGAATTGGGTGGTCAGGGAAAACCTCTGAGGAGGTGAGGTTTGAGCCAGGCCTCAGTAGTGAGAGGGAGCTGGCCGTGAACTTTGAGCCATTCCAGGTCCTTGGGGGGTGGGGGTGGGGGTGGAGGGCTGAGGATGTAGCCTGACCTTCAAAAGGACCAGTGAGAAGGGCATTGTGATTGTAGCAAAGAAGGTCATGCTGAGATGAGTCAGAAAAGCTGGGAAGGACCAACCACTCAGGGTTTTCTAGGCCATGGGAGGAGTTTTATCTAAGGGCGAAGAGACTCCATTGGAAAATGAGTGATATAAGTGCCCCAGATGTCAGCCTCTTGAATATCTCCTACCTCGTTCAACTTGCTGAGAGCACCTTGCCTCTTAAGGTTTAATTAAAAGGACCCAGCCAGGTATCTCCTATGAAAGTAGGATTCCCAGCATCCCTACCAAAAACCTCAGGAATTCTTAAGGAGTTTAGATTCTGCTGATCTCTGAATCTCTGAGTTTCACTGATTTCTGAATCTCCCACCTGCTTTTGCCTCCTCTGTGGCTCTCCCTTTTCCTGGTCACTGACTAAGCTTTCACTCCAAAAGTTCCACCAATTCCATGCCCTGCATGTAGTACATCTGGCTGATGATGTGTAGCAAAGGCCCAACAAGCAACTGAGAATTTAAAATTAGATACCCTGGCCTGGCAGGTGTGGCTCAGTGGTTGAGCATCGACCTATGAACCAGGAGGTGGTGGTTCTATTCCTGGTCAAGGCACATGCCCAGGGTTTCAACTCCATCCCCAGTGGGGGGAGGGGGGAGGGGCATGCAGGAGGCAGCTGATCAATGATTCTCTCTCATCATTAATGTTTCTATCTCCCTCTCCCTTCCTCTCTGAAATCAATAAAAATATATATTTTTTTAATATATTTTTTATTGATTAAGATATTACATATGTGTCCTTGTCCCCACGTTACCCTCTACCCCCCCCCCCCCGCTCATGCCCTCACCCCCCCGTTGTCCATGTCCATTGATTAGGCCTATATGCTTGCATATAAGTCCTTTGGTTGGTCTTTCCCCCTTACCCCCACCCTCCCCTACCTTCCCTTCAAGTCCCGACAGTCATCAGCTTATGTTGTTCATTATATTCCACAAATGAGTGAGATCATGTGGTATTTATCCGCTCTCCAGTTCCATCCATGCTGTGGCAAATGGTCAGAGTTCCTTTTTCTTCTTCTTCTTCTTAAAGAATACCTTTCAGCATTTCATATAATGCTGGTTTGGTGGTGATGAACTCCTTTAGCTTTTTCTTATCCGTGAAGCTCTTTATCTGACCTTCTATTCTGAATGATAGCTTTGCTGGATAAAGTAATCTTGGTTGCAGGTTCTTGCTATTCATCACTTTGAATATTTCTTGCCACTCTCCTCTGGCCTGCATGGTTTCTGTTGAGAAATCAGCTGACAGTCGTATGGGTACGCCCTTGTAGGTAACTGACTGTCTTTCTCTTGCTGCTTTTAAGATTCTCTCTTTATCTTTTGCTCTTGGCATTTTAATTATGATGTGTCTTGGTGTGG